TGTGTTAGCTTGCTAAATAGTGCAGTGATCAATTCTGGGGAGAAAATCGAATAAGGAGTTTGGGCTAGCTTCTTAAATTTGACGAAATGATTTAAGATTTTATTTGACTTTATTTTTTCCAAAAGAATTTTACCTTCATCTATTTCCAGTTTTGGTGCTATCTGATTAATTTCAGTTGAATCTTGCGAAATAGTAACAGACTTTTGAATTTTCTTTTGGTTCTTTCTCATATTAACTTTCTATGCATATTGTCTGAACTATTTCACTGCTTTTGGAGTCACAGTTTCACATACTTATTGCTATAAAGTCAATTAGCAGTACAGTCGAATCTTGATTAAAGCTATGGGAAAGATCATTTAGAATTTATTTTTCTAACAATCGATCGATGTCTTTTTTTTAAGGTATATGTCAAACGAACATAGGAACTAGTAACCATCTTTCAATTTGATCACAATCCGATTAGCAACAAGATTTATTTTGCTGGTTACTTATACAATTTAATGTATATCAAAAAGGATATATGACATCTATCGAGAGGCATAAAGGAAAAAAATTAAGAGACATAACTTCATTTGGGTATCTGATATATAAGTGTTAAGAATTGATTAAGTTTCTACAAAATAAAACAATAAATTTCTTTGTGAACCCCATTGTTATCAAAGACGCATGTCTTATTGCGCCTCATGCGCATTGCGATGCGGGCAATGGCTAACCGCCTCACATCTAAGGCGGCAGCGCATTTTTGCGCCTCACAAGTGCCGCAAGGATGCTGGTGCGTACAAGACATAGACTCGTATATTTTTATTCTTTAGCATTTCATTGGGTTCTTTACACCCGTAACCTATATCCCAAAAGAAAAATAAATAGCATTTCATTGTGTTCTTTACACCTGTAACCTATATTCTTAAAAGAAAAATAAACCCATCAGGCCATTTTAGTAGGCATGATTAAGAACTCTAAATCGTTCTATATTACTATCTGATTTGTCTTCGATATTAGTCTGATTTGACTTTTGATTTGGAATGTTATGAACTTTCTGCTATGTTGGGCAGGTTAGCATTTTGAAGTAAGATTGGTAGTAATCTCGACATATTTTTATGTGAAGATTTATAAAAATGTTCCTTCTTGCTTGATTATTTATCTTGAAAAATTATGTGTGCGGGGTCCGCCTCGCTTCATTCGGGCGCGTGCTTCGCATTGCGCCTTGCACATGTGCGCATAAAGGAAGGTTGTGCCCCGCATTGCGCATTGATGACACCGGTGAATCCCACTATTTAATCTTGGCTCTATTCATGATGCAGGTTCTAAACGATGAGATATTTGCAATTCTAGTCCTAATGGCCCTCTTCACCACCTTCATCACAACCCCAACTGTCATGGCCATCTACAAACCTGCTCGCCGCCGCCACCACCCCATCAATCACCGCAAACTCCAAGGCTCATCC